GCGAAGGCGCAAAAAGTCTCTTGGCAGACAGACGATACAGATGTGATGGCTTACATAGGTCATGAAGACCGTTCACAATGCAGGCCTTTCAGCAGGTAAACCCTTCCAAACCTAGTTTGCGGAAATGTTTGGCGTAATCCTTTTGTGGAAAAAGCTGCACTTAGGGCCGCAAGCAGGGGCTATCCAGCGAATGGGAGAACAGGGGCCCAACTTCGTTCTCGCCTTTCTTGCCCATATTCTTGCTGGCCAGTTCAGAGAGAACTTTCCATGCAGCTGCTGTAGGAGCTGTGCCTCAAAGCAGAGAGACAACTCGGGATGACAGTATGCACGTGAGCTGAGGGCGGAGGATGAGGAAGAGGATCGCAAAGACCGACGGAATTCTCCAAAAGACCAGGAGGTCGAGGCTTCACTTGCGGACGACAGCCTGCAGCTTGACTCGTCCATCATTGCTTGGTGCTTGAAGGAGATGGACAGCCGAGCAGTGGAGCAGGAGGTAGAGGCTGCCGAGCCTGCTGAAGCGGAGGAGGCATGTCTTCGTGTCTTCGTGGCACGGGTTCGGATGAGAGCCTGCTACAGTGCTACAGTATGTCTGCGGAGCATTCTTCCCCGGAATCGACTGGGTTGTCCAGGAAGCAGCGGGTAAGTCCAGAAGGCGAAGGCACAAAAAGTTTCTTGGCATGCAGACATGTATGGGGCGTAGCCAATGCGTAGCCTTCGTCCTGTGGCCACATCAGCAGGGGCACGCGTATGTATGTGTGTGTGTGTGTGCGTGTGTGTTTGTTTGTGTGCGTGTGTGTGTGTGTGTCTGTCTGTCTGTCTGCCTGGCTGCCTGGCTGCCTGGCTGCCTGGCTGCCTGGCTGTCTGTCTGTCTGTCTGTCTGTCTGTCTGTCTGTCCTCTCTGTCTGTCTCTGTCTGTCTCTGCTCTCTCTGTCTCTCTCTGTCTCTCTCTCTCTCTCTCTCTCTCTCTCTCTCTCTCTCTCTCTCTCTCTGTGCACGCGTGCGTGCGTGCGTGCGTGCGTGCGTGCGTGCGCGGCAAACACCTAAACTAAACTACACTCGACGTCTCTCCTTGCCCAGGTATCATAGCGATGGGCTCGGTTTCCTCATAACGGCCCACATAATCAAATTTTGTTAGTCTCCAAGAGGTGTGGCCACTAGTGTGCGCTGTTCGGGCTGGTGCCCTGACCTGCCGGGTGGTGTGGGCATCGGAGAAGGTTGGAACTTCTAGCAGCTGCAGTGGATCTCTTGCGTTTGAAGTTTGAGAACAGGTCGAGGACAATGCGCCTCCGATTCCTCTACTGGTTCGCTGTAGCTGAGGTCAGAGCCTGAGGAGCAACAGGAGGAGCATCGCAAAGGGCGGCAGGCCAACAATGTGCGGGAGGGTCAACCCGACCATGAATCAACTTTTCATGCGCTTCTCAGGCAGGGGAAAGGCGGATGTCTGCGGAGCAAAGAGAGGCTGAGACTGCGCATGAAGCGGAACAGGAGGAGGCAGGGCTGAATCACATGTACATCGGTTTCCCCGCTGTGTGATAGTATGTAGAGCCCGCCTTGGGCTCTCATTAGGTGATCTAAAGAAACCCTGCTCGTGGTTGGAAGCTTGAGATGTAGTTGCGATGCGCCGCGCCAATGTACATATTTCTTCAGCCAGATCAATATTTTTGCAATCGGTTTGCCACGTGCAGCGATTGCTGAAACCGAGCAGAAGCCCAGTTGGCAAGTCAAGAGCTGAATTGGAAGCCGAGTGTCGCAGAGTGAGCTGGAAGAATGAAGAGGGTCTCTTCGCATGTCTTCAAAAATCTGTTGTGCCTACACCCGCGGAGGAGCAAGAGGAGGGTGAGGCTCGTGCCGAGGAAGCTGAGGGGGAGGAGGCATCGAGAAGACGCCGACGCCGCCGCAAGCTGAAAGCTCAAGATTCCGTTCTAGCAACGTTGGACGAGTTTTAGTTTTTCGCCGCCCAGCTTGCGATGCACGAGTGACCATGAACTCTGAACGGTTTGATCTTTTCACGCGATCCTCAGTTCACAGTGGCCGACTGTATATGTGACTGCTGGACGAGTGCATCAAGAGCTTTGCTTAGGGCCAACCTGCAGTCGTAGATTGCAGACGCCCCCGGATAATGGCCATACTGCGAGCGCTGCTTGCATGAGTTGCCAGCTGTCATCTGTGAACACAGTGCGGCCGGCAGTTTCAGAGACCCTGTTAATGCTCCATGCGGCCCCGTAAGACTGCATCAAAGACACCCTCGCGCGGTTTGTGACTTTGTGAGGTGAAGCGAAACGGCGCACGCTTGCCCCGTGTTGCAAGGCGAGCGCATCTGCCCGCACTGCCAGCGAACTCGAGGTTAGCATCCAGCAGCCGGAGCAAAGCTACGCAGCACAGCACTAGCAGCACGGACCATCACGGACCCAAACCAAGGCCTCTGCTGTTACTTTTGCACAGGGCATGTCCGGGAGCTCGAAAGCACACGCCATGGCTGCGTCGAATGGTAAAGCCGAGCAAGATGAGGAGAGTGAGCCGCGGCTGACAAGGAGCAACAGGTCAAGGACCTTCAAAAGGAAGTCTTCCAATTCGCCAAGCTCCATGGCCGCATGCCCTGCGCAGCTCAGGATGCGGAGCTTCGCATCAAGCACCTGCGTGAGGACTGTTCCTGCTGGTCTCTTTCCAGCTTAGTTGTGGATGATAGGTAGCGGGGTGCATGGCCATACAGGCGCCCAGAATTCGCGTTTACTACATTCTGGTATATGATCTTTGCATTCGGCGAATTCGCTTCATGATCATGAGCTTCAGGACGAAGACCTCGTAATTGTGTCCCGGCTGCAGATATACTTATTGAATTCACTGGCTTATGATTGACTCCGGCTTGCTGCCGTGAAGCGTGGCAAGAAGTGATCTGTTCGTTTGCATGTGCAGCCTTCCCTGCAGCCGAGGACGGAGAAACGGCTGTGGATGACATGTCACTGGCATGCAGAGATCTCCGTTAGGCATTGCTACATCATATCATATCTTTGTCCCACGTCGTGCCCGTGAGCCTGCTCGAAGTCCGCGTCGCGGCTTGGCAGGTCGTCGGACTGATGTCGTGTCTCACCTGTGTTCGTGTTGCTCCCGTGATGGGGCTGGTTTGCCAGCCTGTGGTCGCAGAGGCAGTTGCAGAGCAGAGTATAGTGATCGTGTAGTCGCAGTTGCATGGTAGCCCTTCGTGCGCCATTTTGGAAGATCTTGCAACTGCAGTGGCGGAAGAACATATGATGAGGTAGGTCCGGCTTCAGCGTTTGAGATTTTGAGGCACTGTGCGTGCAGTCTTGGATGCCCAAGGCTGGTGGCCCAAAGGGTCGCCCAGCAGGAAGTCTTCGCGGAGCAGGTCCTGCTGGATGATGCAGGCAGCCTGGCAAGTTTGGACCTTCGGGCAGGCATGGCTGAGGATTCGGAGTTGGAAAGACGTGGAAGGGGGCGCCAAGTACTGCTCGTGGAGCATCACGGTCCGGGCACCCCTTCGTTCGAATGGGCCTTGAGAAGGGGGGTTAGTCGCGGGATGCAACCCCCGCAGCTTTGACAGCGGTCTTTTGCTTCTCTCTCACGTGAGGTTGCAAATGTGCGAATTCGCCCAGATCCGCGCGACATGGTAGATTCTTGCGGTCAGGCACTGCAAAAGAAGCCCGTCGCAAGGCGCCTTCAGCTGAAGACGTCCAGAGACTTGGTCATGATGGAGCCTGTTCTCAGTGCTGCCATTGCATGATGCACACCTGCCCGAAGAGTGTTGCAAGGAAGCTCCTGCGGCTTTTGAAAGAGACCAACAAGCCCTTACCTCAAACTCGCGTCAGGTGGTCGCTTGTCTTGAAGCCCTTTAGGCTAGTCATGAGTCATAAGGCTCACGTCCAAGATCGGCGAGCTGCCGAGCGACCTCGATGCAGTTTAAGTTTGCGCTAGTTTTGGAGCTCCGAGACGGTCGGCAAACCATCGCAATGCATTGCATAGCATCGCATAGCAGCTTCGGCAGCAGCGGAGGTCACTTCGATGCCGTCGTCTCGGCCGAGGTGCGGGAGGCATGCCGCGCGGCTTCCGAGGTGTGGGGCCAGGTCACACAACAAAAACAGGAAAGCGACTGATGGCACAAGGTCTTGCAAGTGCTGTGTTGAGGCCGTCACCAAGTTGCCGCTTCCGGAGTCTGATCGTCAGACGGAGCCGCCGCAGTGCGCTGTGGGTTTCTCGGCAGCAGAAACGAAGACGGTCGAAGCTTTTGAGGTTAGGTCAACCGAAGTCTTGAGTCCAGGCGACGAGGACTGGGGCCCTGGCCAAGAGAAGTCTTCGGAGGCTCTAGCAGCCGTTGATCTCCAGAGCACAGACGAGGAGAGTGCTGCAGCTTGCCTGCATCTACAGGAGGAGTCCGCACGTCATTTTGGAAAGGATCGCTTGAAAATTAAGCAGCACTCGTAGGCAGCACCAAGTGCTCCGGCGGTTCCGGCTGAGGAAGCACCCCAGGCATGGAAACTGGGAAGTGCAGGTCGCCAGTTCCCCGTTCTTTGGCAATGTGTGGGCAGGTTGGCGAGGTTGCCGAGGCCGAGCAAGAAGTGCAAGATCCAGGGGACGATTCTTGGCCGCAAGGTACTCGCAAGTTTTGACGATCTCTTCTCTACCCTTCTTTCTGCAAGGAAGACGACGACGACATGAACAACAAGGCAAGGTACTCTCTCCCGTCACAGACCGCTGCATGTTGCATGCGCTCCATCACTCTATGGCCATGGCCATGCTGTTGCCAGTGCGCAGCGCATCCGGCGCCGGCCACAAAGACTGGCGAGGGCACCGAAGCCGTGGAGGCAGGGGACGCAACCACGCCTTCACGGAAGAGCTACAGGATGCCACTGAAGCATCGGAGCAACTGCTTCACAGTGGACTGCGCGTCCAAGTCTCGACATCCACGACAATTCAATGTTTAGGGCACGTCGCAGCCTCGGGGAGATCTATCTGGAGACTGTGTGCAGGAGCAGACCTTCACCCGCACTGCGCCAGAAGATGAGGAGGGAGCTCCGGTGATCAATGCTTCCCGGCACCGAAAGGTCATCTCATTTTTGGCCCGCTTTCAGGTGCCCGCAGCAGTAGAAGAGCTGAGCCAAGGTATCACATCTCCCCACGAAGCTTGAGGAAAACGCGTCGAAGGAAGCGATCGGCAAGGTGCGGTCTATCGTGGACGAGCTGGTCGTCGTTCAGGGCGATGAAGATGGCAAGGACTCCCAACTTCCCCAAACGATGCGGAACATCGAGCACTGAACTGCTCGACAGGCTTTGGACCTGGGCTCCGTTGTGTGCCTGGCAGACGGGCGGATCCTCGGAGCGGTGGCGGCCGAGCTGAATCTAATCGAAAACTGGATCCACCCTTCCTGCAGCCTGAGCCTTTTGCATCTCAGTCACTTTGATGTGTGCGATGTGAAAACCACCTGCTCGACCAACAGCCTCACGAGTGGGATACAGCAGGTGGACGTCTTCGGACCAATCTCTGTGCCGCATTATCTCGTCTTGCCGGCCGACTCCTGCAAGAAGGCCGCATCATCTTGCCAACATGCTGGATCGCATTCTGCTCTAAGTTGGCCTTCATCAGCACTGTCAGGACATGCCTGCTGTTGGCGATGCTGTGCTGGCCGCCACGGGCATGGAGGACAAACTGGGCAGACTCGGGGGCCGGGAGGCCTGCTGGCGGTTCACGGGCTCTTCAGGAGACCTCGTTCCTTTGTGACAGCGCCGATCTCTCAGCGCTGCGGAAGCAGCTGGGGGATGAAGGCAGCGATGACGACAGCGGCCGAGCTGCAGATGTGAAGCAGTTGAACAACGATGATATGACGTAAATGCATGTCCTTGTGATCTCCACGTTGCTCGACTGGAGGCGAACTTGTAGATGGCGAGGAGACGGAGAGTGAAGAGCCGGAGTACAGCTCCCTGGGTGCAGCTGCATTGGAAGCTGCGGTCCGGGGGAGTGTCGGCAGGAGCCTCTGAGATCGAGGTCTTGCAGCTTGCAGTGCAGTGCGCAGTGCTTCGGCTCTTTTCGAAGGTGGGGTGTGGAAGGATCCGGAGAAGCAGCGCGAGGTCGAAGCGGACGCACCTTCCTGGAAAAGAAGCCGGGAACGGTGGAATGATTGGACAGATTGGAGGGAAGGTGGTGAAGGAGCCAGGGGATTCCGGGGATAGTCCGCGGTGAGACATGATGTTGCCGTTGCCTCCCCGCCTCCCGAGGAGGTGGCTCGGCTCCGTCTAAGCCAGCGTCACGCCGGTACGAGAGGATGCCACAGTGGAAGCAGTCGAGTGAGCATGACTGTCGGTTTACCACCCCTCGTGCGTCGTTGCATTTGCAGGCAACCGGCCTCGCGGCAAGATGAAGGTCAGTGGCGAGACACCGCTTGGACCAGTGGGCAGTGGAAGAAAGAATCGCGCGAGGCGGCCGTAGCTGTAGACAGAGCCCGCAGTGTTGTCGGATCGCGAATCCTGAAGCTATCAGGGTGACTGGTCCGACGATTGGTCCAACGGCCGGTCCAAGGATCGGACCAAAGACTGGTCCGGGCATTGGAACGACCGCTCCAGCGACTGGCCCAACCACGAACGGGCGCCCTGCTTGCAGAAGCTTTAGGTACTCGTGACATCTAGTAACTAGTGACCGCGGCTCGAGAGCTGAACTCCTGCAGGAGAGGTCTCAACGGCGCGCGCCGCGCCGCGAGGGAGGCGAGAGCTTTCCCCCGCCACCACCCGTCCCAGGGCGGCCTGTCGCGACACTGCCTGCACCGCCCCCCCCACCCCCGCCGCCGCCACCTGCGCCACCTTCATGGGACACGCAGCAGCATTCGGAAGTGTGTCTGGGGGTTGTTGGTCTTGCATGGCACCAAATCGCGACCAAGGAGGATGGACGGGACGATCCAGGACGGGGCAGATATGCCCAGGGTGACTCGGATGCAGCACCGTAGAACTCCAACTGGCACTGCATGAGCTTCTTCGCGTGGTGAGGTGACCGCGACTGGCGACCTGCAGAGAAGCCGCGGCCTTCGAAGAATCCTCGGCTGAGCCTCTCGGACTTCGAATTCCAAGGTGCCTTGTGCAGAGCTTGGCATGGTGGTGAAGTTCATATGGCCTGCTTGATGAGGTGAGTGATTCACCTGGGCCGGTAAAGGAAAAGGGGAGCTACCGAGCCTGGCAGCTTAGCATAGCTGTACCTGTGGTTGCGGGGCTTGCATTCACATTTCGTTGAGAGACTGTAGTCGCATGCCATGCCACGCATGTCTGCCGAATTGGGCTTCAGTCGGCTAGAAACAGGTCTTGCAGAGCCTCGGTCCTGCTCGGGCTTTGCACATCTCCGAAGTTATTCTTAATTTACGCCTTTTCCTTTGATGAAGTTTAACGGCGTGTCGCTGGTCGAGCTGGGCAGTAACGGCAGCAGTCGAGTCCCTTGTGAAACACAACGGCGTTTTGCTGTAGCTGACCAACCGCCGGGATGGTCAGCATTCGTGCAAGACTGGCAACTCGTTGATGACATGGCCGGCAGGCCAACTCTCGGCCGACACAAGTCCAACCAAAGAAGCCCGCGCGGCCCATGTCTGGCCCGTTGTGGCTCTTTGTGGCCACAAGATGAGAGAAAGCAAGAAAACCAAACAGGCCTCCCAGACGGACCGCTTTCTGTTTACGCCTTGACCGCGTCGCCGCTGCTCAGTGGAAGAGTACCGACCATGACAAACAAGCAGCCCGGACAACAGCAGCCGAGGAGAAGTATATATATATATATATGACATGTATGCACACACAGAGACATGCACAGACACACCCACCAAAACACACCAAGGTGTAGCAACGGAGTCAGACATACTTTTACCCAATCCAGCCAGCTGAGATTACTGTAGGTCGCCTGAGGTCTACACGTAAGTGCCACTTTCAGCCAGAGACTAGATGCCCGCCATGCTTCAGGCCGATGGAGAGCGACCTTGCTGTGACCACACATGAACACACCGGCTCTTGCACAGGCTGCCAGCTCGTGGAATGGGTGCAGAGCGGAAGCAGCTGTGCGCGGCAAAGAAGGCACTGACAGGTGGTCATGTTCTCGTCGGTTGAAACCGATACATGTGAGTCAGAGGCGCCCATCGATGAAGAACGAGGCAAGGCAGCTGCTGTGAAGTATCGTCCGCGGTTACAAGACGGCCCCAGCCGCATGTGCCAGAAGGGATGGCATATGGCCAGGATCCGGTGGCCTCTACGGCGCTGAGCTGGTCTCGGAATGGAAACAGTTGAAGGGTTTGGTCGATCGGCTCGCTGAGTAGTTAAGGTGAACAGAGCCGTGGAAGATCCGGGAAAATGGTTAAAGGGTGTGGCCAGGCGAGTGGCGAGGGCTCAGCAGACGCTTCCGTTGCTCGATCCGGAAGTGTGCAGGTGGCTGGAAACCTCCGAAGACACGGATCCGGCAACGCTCCAAGCCCCCGGAGCTTGGCTCCAGGCGCTTGTTCTCTTAGCCACTCTGAGTTTCTGAGGTCCGGGTCTTCACGGTTTGCTGCGACGACTTCCGGCCAAGGCGATTGAAGGCTCCGGTGGTTCTCGCGTGGCGCCCCCGGTGCTCCCGGTGCCCCCGGCTCTTTGTGCAAATTCGGTCGGATGCTCAAGGTGGCTAACAGTGCAGCTGCTGGGATTAATTTTCCAGGCTGGGCCCTTGACGAAGTGGACTTTAGGATCTTGAATTGAATCCCGCTCCTTTGTCATACTAGATGCAACTGCTGGTGCGGTGCCGCGGAATCAGGTGATTCTCTGGTTGGAGGTGGGGCGCAACCTCGAGTCCTTCGAAGTGCCTTGGCTGCATCACCCGGCTTTTTGGCAACTTAATCCACAGCATCCCACAGCTTGCGTTGCGAAGGACACCTTGGCCCAGAACTGTGCCCCTTCGCTTCAGCAGCATCGCTGCCCTTTTAAATCCTGAGAGTTGCCCGTCGAATTCATGTGTGACATGGCAGGCACGGCATCTGCCTTGGGCCCGCCTGGAATCTGAGCTATTCTGGGCCTGCTACTCGGTACCCGGATATCTGGCGGAAGCTTCCTCCTTTTCAGAGGTGCGACTCACCTCTGTGCCTGCTCCAGGACCTTGAGCTTTCCGCCAGGCGAGAGCCAGGTGCCACCGCCTCTGCTGTCTCCGCACCGGGGACACCCCCGCAGGCATAAGAACCCCAGTGTGAGTCTGTAAGTGGTCAAGGTAGAAAGCTGCGGGGCTTGACGTGTAGCTGTTGACTGAGCGCATGTGAACTCTGCGCCCGAACCAGAACTCAACGCACCCATAACTGCCTGCCGGGGCCTGCTCTGGGCGTTTGCGTCGAAACTTCCGATCCTGAAAGCACACTTCCTTTGCCTTCGTGGTCGCGAAGCGATTGCGATAGTTTTCTGGCTCACCTCTGCTTTCATGCATCTGTTGCCTTGATGAGCTCCGAAGCTTCGCGAAGGCGACGGTAGTGTCTGGTTTGACGCTCATCGCTCAAGCAGACATGGATGGTCTTTTAACTTCATTCCAATCTTGGTGGAGACGAGCTACATTGCACGAACATGTTGGTGCTGTGCCATGCTCCGTGCAGCTGCGACACAGGCCTGGGCAAGGTTTCACCAAGTGCAAGAGCCATAGACCAAGGACGTTGCAGCTTGATAGAAGCTGCCGCTTCTTTGCGTTGCTGTTTTTGCTCACAGCTGGAAAAAAATCAACAGACGCTTGGAGATGCGGCCTCAGCCCAGGGGGCAAAGGCAGGCCCAGGGAAAGCCTGCCTTCGTTTTGAGTTGTTCAGATGGCCTTCTACATGTCAAAGCGCATTCGAGCACGCAGGCCATGGAAGTTCAAGTTGAGGCAATGCCAGGATGGGAGGCAAGCAATTTATCAATGATATCTTGGTCAGGCCAAGCACCAAACGAAACGCACCGCGGTGAGCAGGTGCCCAAGGGCTGCCTCGTTGGGGTACGTCTTGGGGAAGCTCTGAAGCAGCGCCGGTTAGACGGCAGGTGCGAGTGCCCGCGCTGTGCGTTCATTGTCAGCTCTTTCGATGCTGCACGTCATAGGTCTGCGAGCAACTATGTCTTCCCCAAGCAGGATGGCAAAAGGAGATTCGAAGCACCGCATAAGTGCACATAACATCGGGTTGTCCATGCGCCATTGAGAAGCAGGAGAGCGAGGATCGACGTCTATCGGCATGTCTTGAGCCCCGGGTTGTTAAAGAACACTGGGGCTTCATGCAGGCTAAGCTCGCAAGTCTGGAGTAGCTGAGGTGGGATCTTGCTCAGTGGAGGTCGACCCCAGCAGCATAAACGCAAACGAGGTGAACGTACCATGCCCATGGCCCAGACATTTCACGTTATGCTTTCACTTTCTAGTGGAAGTGCGGGGCAGGGCATGGTGCGGAACTGTGAAGGTTCTGATCCGTCGTTGCAGTCGATACGGTGCCAGCCTAGTTGATCGGTTTCCTCTTGCGGCGCCTGCGTGCCATGGGCAGGCTGAGAATCACTTCGCAAGCTGCGGGCTCTTCCTCGGAGGCCGTGCTGGTGTCGGTTTGGGGATGGGTGCCGTCCCACGGTGACCGCGGTGCCGCGCAGCCAGGAGCAGAGGCAGAGGCAGCAAGAGCAAGAGAGCAAGGAGAGCAAGGGCCGCGCCGCACCGCACCATGCATGGATCAGTCGCTTCCCAGAGCTGAGCAGAGCAGAGGAGTCTGCCTTGAACTACTTGGCGGCCCATGACATCGAGCAAACACTTGCGGAATCTGTTCGCCAAATGCTGAAGCTCTGCTGCAAAGGCTCGTTCGGGCATCACCTTCTCTGGTGCTCTAAACTGGAGCCCGAAGTCTCAATTGAAGTCGTGTCAGTCGTGCAGGATCATGTGTTGCCTAGAAGAGTTCTCCTGCAGAGCAAAGCACGGACCCAGTCCACAGCCACACGGTGTACGCGCTTGGTAGCTTGTACTATGCCAGGAGACCACATCCATTGCCTGTCTTTTTGCATTGAAGAGGTTCCAGATCGTAGAGGCGGCAATTGCACTTGCCTGGGAGCACTGTTGTTTGCTGTGCTTCACAGTATTGCTTTACGGAAAGTGAAGCATTGAAGAAGGCGGGACAGAATCATGATGTTCTGTGATCGGAAGCACCAGGGAGGAATGTCGAGTCGCTTATGCCGGTGTCCAAAGCCTCGGGAAGCCCTTGCTTGGCCATGCTCGTTGCGAAAAGCTTTGGTAATAAGCGGTGCGGGGGGGTTGCTCTGGCTCCGCATGCCCTTGCCGCATCAAGCTGCGCTATCACCACCGGACCACCAGAAATTAATTTTGCGTGACCTTTGTAGCAGTTGTCAACCATGCCTGCCAGTGTACCAGCTTATGATATACGAAGAGAACTTACGCAGAAAGTCATACACAACATATAACCAATGCCTACATAGACTGGCACACACGTACATACATACATTTACATACATCCATAGATCCATAGATCCATGTATTCATGCATGCATGTGTAGAGGCCGAAAGCCGAGAAATCAGACAGACAGACAGACAGACAGACAGACAGACGGACAGACAGACTGTCATAAACAGAGACCTGCTCACCGCCTGGGCGTGTTCAGAAGAGGATGCCCTAAAGAGGGCAGGCGCAGGTAACGTTGGTGTTCAATCCTCAGTTGTCTTTGGAAAAAGAGAGAGACACAGACAAACACAGACGGACACAGACAGAGACAGACAGAGACAGACAGAGACGGACAGACACAGACAGAGACATACAGAGACAGACGCAGACAGAGGCAGACAGAGACAGATAGAGAGACGGACAGACGGACAGACAAACAGACAGACAGACTGACTGACTGAGTGACTGAGTGACTGACTGACAGACAAAACAAACAAACACAACACACACACACACGCACACACACGCACGCACCCACACACACACACCCACACACACACACCCACACGCACAC